ACAAAAACTAACAAAGTATGGTCAATCTCGCATTCATCAAAGAAACAACTATAAAATTAATATCATATAACTAATAATCAATCATATGATATGATATGTTGATAAAATATTAATTTTTAATTTTAATAATTTAAATTTAAATTTTTATAATTTCAAATATAAAAGGAACTACAAATAAATTTATTTACGTTAAAAAAATGTGAGCAACATGTCAAGTTTGGGTTATAGTTAATAAAAATGTTTTTAAAATTTGAAAGTAAATTACAATTAATAAGATGAGAAAATGTAGTTAAGCCAAGTGAAAATTTGTGGTATGAAAGCGAATTTGTGAGATAAAAACTCTTTGATAATGAAAATAAAAATTATGCAAATTAAAATATTAGGTGAACTTAATAAGGAAAATGAAAGTTGATAAACAAGCCCAAGATCATGTTTAGGTACAAAAGAAAACCCAATATTTTGGGTCTCAGAAGCCCATTATGAAATCCTCCAAGCCCCCCCACAGACCCACTCTTACAAACCCATCATTTTTTTCTTTTCATTGCGAACATAATTCTTCAGGGAAAGAGCAGGCTAGCGTGCTGCAGCAAGCAGTTAGGGCAAATCAGTACCCAAAACTCAAAGTTACACTTTTCGCTTTCCCTTGAAATGAAAATTATATAAAAATATGAAATTACACATGGGTTTTTGAAAAGTTTTCTTCTTTTGGACTAAAATTTGAATGTAAGAACATTTGTTCTTGTTAGTTTTGTTAAGTTTAATGTTGCCATGTTGGTGATGTGTCATTTTTTTTTTTTAATCTTGTAAAGTTGATTTTATTTATCATATTATGAATTTTGATAATACCCACATCAAACAAATCAAAATTCAATGTAAGAAATATGTATGTTAATATTCTTTCTAGTTATCTGCATTGCAAAGACTTCTTTATTTTTTTTTAAAGGTGTAATCTTTGGCTTATTCATTGTTATAGCAAAGGAAATAAATTACTGTGGATGCTTTAATGGCTGCTATTTCTGTCCTCACAGCCTTTTAGCAATCATCAAATGCAGCATTTTGGATAACAAGGTGTTGATGGAGCAATGTCAAACCCTCTAGAATTGGATTCTGTAGAGACCCTTTTGATCCGGCATCTTCTTGAGGCCATTCCACACTATAGCCTTTTACGGCTTTCCTGTCACCATGGCGTATCCTCTGTTCCTCCTTGCTCTAGTGGAAAGTAAATAAATGTTAAATGTTTGGTGGTTCCTTATAAATTTCATTCAGTTCTCAATTAGCTTTCTAGAAACCCTTTATTATTTCTAGCTTATATATGAGTTATTTCTGTGGTTGCTCAGCCTGAGGTTTCTTGGTAATTGGAAAAGTCTTATCATTGGAGAGAGCTAGTAAGCCATCTGAGGATGATAAACCTCACAAAATTGGAGTTCAGCTTGGAAAGGATTTTCCACAATTGGCATCTTGGGTGAAAGATGCTAACTAGACTAGATACCTGAATCAAGGTTCAAGATCAGGATCAATGCCTGCTAGTGAACCAATTGCTCCTACACTTGGTGTAGACTATCCATTTCCTCCTCACCTTGAGTGAGTCTTCCTCATATTTTCATGTTTTTTTTTCTTTATATCCAAAAACCCTTGAAATGTGACGTTGCAAATATAGTGTCAAGCATTTATGTACTCATGGTATAAAGAGTTGTTGGCTTTAAAGTTTGCTTTTCCAACTAGTGCATAACACTTTAAGCAATAATTGTTTTATAGCATTGATCAGAGTATGCTGCTTTCTTTCTAAATGCTTTAATCATGTAGATATAAGCAAAATCTTATACACTTTTGATGCAGATATTCTTATGTTTGACCAGATGGAAATATTTTGTCCAATATTATTAATGCTCTTATTGCTGTTCCTCGCTTCTATACCCAGGTTTTCTTTAATTTCACCTTTATTGCGAAGCTACTTAATTATTTATTAATGTTTCATCTTAGGTTCTTGTAATTAGGTTTTTACTTGATTTTATCTAATTGCTATTATTGGAGTCCGGAGATAAGAGTCTTTCAACTTCAGGTGTTGCACCTAATGAATAGAATGAATATTCCATCTCCATTTTGTATGGCTTTTCCCACTCCCCCTGTGCCACCTTCAGTACATGTGCCACAGCCACCACCCCCACCCCCACCCCCACCTCCTGCTCCCACACCTGCAAAGCCTCTTTTGGCAGCTGCATCTTCTAGTGAATCAGAAATGGAGTCATCAGATGAGGTAAGATATTTCTTCTAACTTGTAAACATCAGTAACCACATATTAGATTAAATTAATGAAACATATATGCCTGAAAGAAGCACTCTGGCCAAATTTAATCCTATATAATTCCTGTAGTTGGTGATTGTTCCTTGACTAATATGTTTGTAGGAGGTCAAAGACAAATGTGTGACAAAATCTAAAAGGAAGCGTGTGAGGCGAGAAGCTGTTGTAGGCCCTGCAATTGATAAAAGTGTGGCTCATGAGGCTGTTGGAGTTTGTGACATTTCTATCAGTTGAACTTGGCCATTGTGCTTTGGTATGTTTGTGTTGCTGTGACAAATGAGTTTATGCGTTTTGTGTACCTTGTAAAAGTTGCCTCATAACCTGCTCTGGTCTCTAAAGATTGTTTAAATCAAACCAGGGATGCATTCTAGGAGTAATTTTAAAGCAGTGATATCAGTTGTCCTAGCTAGCAAAACCAGTTGGAAATAAGTTTCTTACTTGGTACTAACAAAAACAAAAATGAGAGAAACGAATTAGCTGTCTTCATGAGTTGTTATCTTGTCAACTTAATGGCTTTTAACAAAATTGCCAACCTGGTTTCCTTTCCCAGTAATTTTTTCCATGTGATAAAGCTAGTAAAGCTAAACAGCATTCAGCTCTCATATATCTGAAGAATAAAAGCTTTTGTTAATACTATGTTGTTTGTTAGCTGATGACAATCTTTTGAAGTTCAAAATTATGTTCTTGATACTCCCCTGCTAGGTTTTTTTTTTTTTTTTTTTTTTTCCTTAACAAAGGTAGCCATAGCCTAGCAATAAGCGAAAGGATAATGCTGAGATTTGAACCTCAGACCTGTTAGATGCCACCTCTTAAGGGTGATTGTATGAACCACATGAGTTAAGCTCCGGGTTCCTTCTGCTAGTATTTTTAATACTATGCAACTATTAGCTTGTAAAATTCATGCCAATGAAAGACCTTTATTAATAAGATTTTAGTTCTAGTAGCAAGCAATCGTTTTAAACCATGTTGTAGGATAGGTAATTCTTATTACACAATTAATTCACACTTTTTTCTTAATGCCTCACTGTAACAAGTACTCCCAGGGAATGCTGTTTTAGCTCTAAGGTCTATTAATTCTTTGTGTTATCTCGTGTAGTGATGACAAATTTCTTATTCAGTGTTCAATTGTATTCCTTCTTTGCAGAACCTCATAAATGGATAACTGTTTAAAGGCAAACCAATAATCATCTAGTTTGGTCGGAATCCCGCCCCTGCAAAAACAAATTAAAATAATATGCAGTGACATGAGCAAGTTCCTTCTGTCCACTGTATGGTTACTATATTGGTGATTATGGCTTTTTATGTTTTTAAGCAAGGATGTCTACCTCCATAATTTTGTAATCCCAAGGCTGCGGTGAGCGGAGATGTGTGCAAGAGCTTGTGAAATGATTATCTCGCCAATACATTTTAACAGAAATAATAACTTGGCCGCCTTGAGGGTCTACTTCAAATCATAATTCATATCATCAGCGGTGATGGAAGAGCAGAGCACAACAGGGTCTTGCTACTTGCTGCTACAGGGGTTTAAAGGTGCAGAGCCTCTGTTTAAGGCAGCAAGCCTTAATTTTGGTGTGGCTGTAGCATCACCCTTACGATTTTCCTTGGTCCACCCTAAACCTGGGTACAAGCATGCTGGTGATTGATCAATACAACAGTGCAAAGCAACTTTTTCCTAGGCCTGGGCCGCTTGGTACCCCCGATTGTTGACTTTTGAGGTCTCACTGCTCAAATGTGGTTTTCCCAAAAACTTTTTTCTTTTTCTTTGACATATTAGTCACATTTAATATAACATTCATTGTTTGGAAGAAATGGAAAGATAAAAGGAAAGACTTTACACTTTTTTTGGCATCGAAGAGAAAGACAAAGGCTTTATGCTTGACTCTTGAGTTTGTAATATTTACTTTGTAAACAATGATTGGAAGTTTTTCCTTGTTCTTCATTTTCACTGCCTTTTTTTTTTTTTTTTGACAGTCTTCATTTTCACTGCTTGATTCAAGAACTAATGGAAATTCCTGTTTTTATGTGTGGTAAATTTGTTAAGACTGTCAGCTGTCCAAAATGTAAGTGAATCATTTCAAAGGAATTCCATAAAAAAAAAAAAAAGTTCTCCTCATAAACTTATTGCTTCTCTTTCAGAATTCAACTCCAAGATTTCTATTAGAGATTTCAAATTCTAACAAATTCTGTTTCTAAAGAGGGGACTTGAAGCAAAATCACGTACCAAAAAGATAAAGTACAACAAAATTGTTTTAACAAATTTTCAAAGAAAATTTTGATGTAATAAAAGATTGGCAACCAAAACTTTCCCTTATGCCATGTTAAGAAAGTAAAAGAGAGGAAATGAAGATTTTTTAGAATTCAATGGGGTTCAGCCTCCTACACCAAGTTCTATATCTTCCAAACACCTCAGTAGGTGATCATCAGCTGATGCATATACCTGAAGAATCATGTTCTCAGAGGTTTCCCTTTCTTTAACTAATGCTTTGCAGGAAGCATGCTCTGAATTCAGTTTCAACCTGAAGCCTGAAATTCAGTATCAATTGATTCCCTGGATGAAAATCTTAGTCCAGAAGGATCTCAACTACTTCACTTTAGGAAATGTGCAACTTCATATAAATAGATTGTATGATTATCAGAAGATTTGGTACTGAAATCAGATGAGTTACGCCTGCTGAGACATTCAATTGGAATGGTATAACAAGTGGCAGATATATGATTTCTACTCATTGTTTGTAGTTTAATAAAAAAAAATATTGCTATATAGAGCTGATCAATCGATCTTGACTATATAGAAGATATTTTTGTCTCGGTCAGGGAAGACAATGTTTTTCTGTTAGATCTACCTGCTAGCCATCTAATGCCAAATCCCCAAAATGACTGCAATGCCAAAGAGTAGTGCAAGTGTAGCATCTCCTCCCAGGAGGATAGACAACCTGCCAAGTTGAAGATGTTAAATCAAGAAATCAGGAAAATGCAGTAGAGACAGTAATGTTTACTCTGCCAGGAATATGCCGTAGATTGCTGTATACATGCAATACCTGAGCTTCTTCCTTGACTGCTGTATGTATGCCATTGCTGGAGGAAGGATGCCAAACAGGAAGCAGTTTGCAAAAACCCCAGCAAAATCAAGGGCTCTTGAAAAGGTTGAAGGGAAAAAGGAAGCTATAAGAACTGGAGCACAAAGCACTAGTGGCATTACAAACATTTCAAATGATTTAAGCTCAGTCATTCTTAACAGCTGTTCATCTTCTGAGGCAGCAACACTATTTGATCCAAATGAAACTTTCCCAAAATTTCCACGATCCTTCTGATCTGAATAGATCACAAAACCAACTCTCCCAGAGCCATCACCATTAGAGACCAACTGAGACTGATAATGGTTTTGCTTTTCTAAACTTGTTATCCCTAAAATCAATTCCAAGGTATCAAGGAGTTGCTTTGGAAAGCTTACAGCATATCCTATCAGGCTAGTTGCCAAAGCAGAGAAGGCAAAGCCTTGAACTGCAGATAAAGCAGAAGGATTCACAGAAAGTAAGAGGGATATAGGGTCTTTTGGTGAGGTAACTGAGGTAGTTCCAGCGAGCCCTAAAACAATCAAATTCCATGATAGAACCATAATCAATGGAACAGCCCCTCCAATAAGTACTGCTTTTCGAGCCTCAGTTATAGAATTTCCAGCAATCTTGCAAATAAAAGGAGTGATGACATGGAAGCCTAATGTGAGTACAGTAACAGGTATAGCTGGCAAAATTGATGACAGACTCCACGAGGCATGAGCAAAGGAGCCTATTACATTTGCTCTGGCCACAGATAAACCAATGGCTACTAATGCAGTTATGGAGAAAAGCATGAGGAAGCACAAAAGCCTGTTTGTAACATCAATGACCTTAAACGGAAAGAACATAATAACAGTCCCAACGGCAAGAGGAAACAAAGCGTGAGCCAATACCAAATTCATCCAGGGAAACCATTGACACACTATTGAACCAATGCCTGAAACACAAGCCACTAACAAAGAAAAACTAAGGGAGGCGTAAATGATCGCAACAAAAGCACCAAAATGACTTCCTAACGCCTTTGTTGCAAGGCCAGTAAAGCTCACCTCTGCAAGCCCATCTTCTTCCATTGCTGCAAAACTAAGCTCTGCCACAAGAATGATGGAGGAAATAACATAAACCCAAGAAAGAAGAATGGCAATGGTTGATGGAAGTGGACCTGATTTTATTGTTGCAGCTGGTAAACCCAGCATTCCAGGCCCAACTGCAGTACCAATAATTAAACTAACAGCACCCCAGAAGCTCTTCCCTTTGTCTTCTTGTTGGGATTCTTGTGGTGACTGATTCTTCAGTGTTTCAACATTATTTTCCTCATCATCAAGAGTAACAATAGGAAGATCCAAACTTCTGGGTGTACATTGTGCAGTTAAAAGGAGAGGTTTGAGATTCTTAGAGGGATATTGGTTTATGGTGAAGGATGTAGTAGGCTTATTATTGAATGCTGCTGCGTAGGGAATGGATAGCTCTGGAAGCTGTGTGTTGAGGCAAAGAAGATTAAATCTTGACTTCAAAGGAGAGTTGGGAATGGATGGATGGTGAGAAAGTAGCATCTTGGCAAAAAAGATTTGTGAGCAATAGAATCTTTGTAATGGAGATTCCCGGGTAGTTTCTTTAGGTAAGAGCAATCGAGTCTTTGTAACGGAGATTCTGTTTAATGGGAAAATCTTCGGTTCTTTCTGGTCAGAGCAGTCAGATTGGAACTAAAACCTCAGAGGGAGATCAAATAATCACCATAATCATAAAATTTTAGACCGATTGGGGCGCCCAAGAATGAAGAATGGGACCTATATCATAAACTATACCCTGTTGCATTATGAAGAAGTTTTCTGGATTGGCCTAAATGTGAGCAATGGGAATGATGGAAGCCCAACCAAAATGAAAATGAAGAAGAAGAGCATGATTCAACTCCTGTTTCATGGGCCTTATTATAAGTGGGCTTACAGAAAAAAGGTTGGGTAAGGTTGGTAACAAGCCCATTCATAATTCGTGGTAATTGATGTATTGTGCCATGTTTTATAAAAATATTATATATTATAATTTACAATGATATTGAAAATATAAAATATAATATTTTTATATATATTTAATTTTTGATAAAATTTTAAATTATATTATTTTAATATTTTATAAAATTATTAATATCGTATCATAAATTATTAAATTTATTTTCATTGTCTCATTTTTTTTTAATTTTATTCATAATCAGAGTTTTAGTAAATTTTTTTGATTTTACAAATGAAATTAAAAAATTATCATAATTTTATTTTTTAAATATATTATAAAAATTCGTGTTATTTTACTAATTTTAGTTATAAAATATAAAAGCTTCGCTAATTATAATTTTTCAAATGAAATTTGCATATGAAAATGAAGAATGCAAGGTTGATTTTTGGAAAATAAAATAAAAAGAAAAAGAAAAAATTTCAAAGCTGGCCCACAAAAACGTAATGAGGTGGCAAAGAACCGACCTTTTATCCAAAGCATATCCGAAACTTACTTGTATTGTTGCAAAATCTTAGGTCTAATGCCACGTGTCGAAAAAGTCACTAATCACGTCACGTACATCTTCAAACCACCATGAAAACCGGCGGACGTTAAAGAAACCAAAGAAAAAACCTTATCCAAAACGTTTTTTCACATAAAAAATTGCCAATCACAAAAAATCATCGACCGTTAGATTCACATCAAGCAAACGGATCAACGGTTGAAGTCAATCCTTAGACCTTAAAATAACCAACAAAAGGGCAAAGCCAAGAGAGAACAGAAAGGAAAAGGAAACTAGGAAAGCACTTTTTCTTCAAAGATACAGAAAAAACTATTTTTTATATTTTAATCTTCACTGGGAATAAAGCAAAGGATCAGTTGTCAATCTGGGTTTTGGTTTTTGTTGTGAGAAAAAAAGGGAAAAAATAGAAAAAAATAGTTATGGCTGAGGTTTTGGGGAAGGCAAATCTGTTCACAACTTGTAATTATAGTCAGAAGAAGAATCAAGAAGGTGGAGTTTCTTTGTTTTCTAAGAGAATTTCTGGGCTTTGTTTAAAAAAGAATAGTTTTCCTTCTTTGAAGGTGAAATCTCAGGCTTTGAGGAGTGATTTTAATGGGCAAAGACTGGTCTTTTTGGAGAAGAAAACTGTGAACAAGAGAAGGTTTTGTCAGTTTCCCATTAAAGCACAGGTTGGTTTAATTCACTTTATTTTTTATTTTTTCTAATTTCAGGATCTTTCTTTTTTTTTTTTAATTTGTTTTGAGTTAATATTGTCTCTTAATTTATTTTATGATTTTTTTAATTTTTTAATTTCTTGATAATTTACATGTGTTTCTATTATTAGCTTCCTACAGTGAAGTTCTTAGCTTAGTTTTCACATTCATAAAAGTAGTATATTGGTTTACGCTTAATTTTTTTTTTCATAATTGGATCTATTGCAAAAATCTATACAGAAATACTAATTGGTTTTTCTTTTTTCTAATCTTGTTTAACTGAATCAGATGCAAACTGGCCTTATTGGTAGAAGTCAAAAGTGGTGGGAGAAGGGGTTGCAACCAAATATGAAAGAAGTCACATCTGCACAAGATCTGGTTGACTCTCTTTTGAATGCTGGGGATAAACTTGCATTAGTAGATTTCTTCTCCCCTGGTTGTGGTGGCTGCAGGGCTCTTCATCCCAAGGTATAATAACATAGTTTTAGATATTTGCTTTTGCATAGTTGTTTATCACCATATTTTTGTAGTGTTTGTATTTGGATTAATTGTGGGTTTGGATGTTGGGATTTGGCAGATTTGCCAATTGGCAGAGATGAATCCAGATGTGCAGTTTCTTCAGGTGAATTACGAGGTGCATAAATCCATGTGCTATAGCCTTAATGTCCATGTGCTGCCTTTCTTCCGGTTCTATAGAGGAGCCCATGGGCGTCTATGCAGCTTTAGCTGCACCAATGCCACGGTTAGTCTTGTATCCCTCCCTTCTGATGCAAAGTTTATCTGATATGTTTAGTATTTAGAATTGAAAACTAGCCTTTTTTGTCATTTTATGCTCTTGTTTTTATGTATGATGCTTGCCACTTGAACATATGGGACTTGATTTCCAGTAGGAAAAATCCATAATTCCCTTTGGATTAATTGATTTTCAATTGATTTACAATTTTCAAGATGTAAGAGCTACATGGACATTTGTTTTTCCTAGCAGGAGTCACTTTTATGAAAATTGCATGGCGCATATTAGTTATCAATTGGTTTTGTAATGACGTTGAGGCTCAGCTATTTTTGTTGCTACCACTTAATTTCCAAGATTGTTGACAGATATATTGCTGCTCATCTGATGCAACTGGTTTTGTATCTTAATTGACCTGAAATGATTAGTCTATAATGTATGGTACTTGTCCATTGTTCACCATGTTTATCATGATGCATGTTCTTATCATAATGATGATTCCACAGATCAAAAAATTCAAAGATGCATTGGCCAAGCACACACCAGACCGATGCAGCCTTGGGCCGGTAAAAGGGCTTGAGGAGAAGGAGCTTTTGGCATTAGCTGCCAACAAAGATCTTTCCTTCAACTACACACCAAAACCAGTTCAACCTGCTCCTGTTCCTGCACAGGAAGAGGTTCTGGTATCAAAACAAGTTCCATCTGATTCAGGGACAAAGCTTCCTCTTCCTCTTCCTACAGCATCCTTAAAGCCCAAAGATAGTGAGGAGAAAAGCTTGGTTGGTGTTGGGAGATGATTTGGCTTGCTTTTCACCAACCCCATTCCCCTCCCAATCGCCATTGTACAGTTACTACTACAGTACTGCTCCCATGTTCATCTCTCATGTACTAATATCCATGTTAGAAATGAACAACACAGAGGAGTTGAAGCCATACGGCATCTTGTCTCCCCATGGAGTTGCAGGTTTTTGGATTTATTTTTTGGGATCCTAGCCTGCTTGATTCAAGGGTGTTTGAAGAGCAACTATAGCTGTGTATATGTTAAGTCGTCATTTTTATGTTCAAGGGAAATCCACTTAGTGAATGTAAAATCATATTGTTTTATAGTATTTATGGTTATAGAAATTGAAAAAGCCTTTTGTCTTTTTCATTTTCTATTTTCCCCTCTTTTATGTGTTGGAAACAGAATATGAGTATTTGTATTGGATATTTAGTATCAATGACAGGTTACTGCCTTGCCTTTTTATTTTCTTTGTTTTCCTATTTTTGTTGAATTCGGATCACACAGCTTGTATCAAGGGATGGTCCATTAGATGTGGATGGTATGTTAGTGACAAATAGATTCCCAGATTCCACCAAAAGAATAATAAAAGGAAAAATATCCCCAGATTCAATCATTCAAACAAGTGACCGGGATATGAACTGTTACTGTTAAGCACACATTATTATTTTTTTAATTTTGTCTATGTTTGTGGATAAGATAACAAGACAGTTCAAAATTTTAACAAAATAATATATTGGTTAAGCAAAAGTCAAAAAATATTTTACCTGTTTATCACATCAATATGAAATGAATACAATAATATTTACATTTTACACGTATTATAAAATAGACATAATATAAATATACAATTTTAATTATATCTCTTAGTTAATGTGGGAATCCTTGAAAGGGACAATCCAAAATTATCTTAGGCAATACATGCCCTCTCCTTTGCTTGCATTGACAGATATGCAAGGCACAGAAGAACAAAAGTGTCATGTTCCATGTATCCTTCGTTAAAAACTCAAAAAAGAAAATATCTAATAGTGTTGGCTGGTCCAGAAACCTTGGACGTTTCAAGAATTGTTTGGAATTCTGCCTGGACAGTGGACATCATCATCAACCACTGTCTAAAATTTGCAGGATTGTCTCAGAAGTGACCAGAACAGGTCCAGATCATTGGTTTTCTATCCTCAACATTGTCAAACAGGCATAAAGATCCCATTACCCTACTTGATTAAAATGAAACATAGATAAGCTCATTTGGATGGATCAGACTTGTTTTTTTTCATTAATTGTTAGATTCAACTTATCTTTTGCATCTGTAAATCCAAATGGATAGATCTTTTAATTTTTTAGATCATAAAAATGATGATTACAGGATTACAAAGTACTAATCGAATCCACAGAAAAAAAGAAAGTGCAATATGTAGTTGGCTGGACATGGAGTGGACCACAAGAGAATTATAGGGAGGAAATTTTGGAATAATGGGAAAAGGTCGGATAAGGTTTTGTGTGTGTACTGAGATGCATCAATGGAGCCTACCTTGCTTGGATTTTTCTAAATCTCAAAGCTCCCTTCATCTGCTCCCAGGCGCCTAACCTCTTTCCCAACTTCTTTACTGTTCCCATGTGTCCAAGGCATATCCATTGAAGTGTTGCCAGGCTGCATTATTTGTGTTGTGTAATTCCTATGCAGCTAAAATTAATAATTTGTATATTTATATTATGTTTATTTTATATTATAAATATGTGTAAAATATTAAAATTTTATATTATAATTTACATGATAAATCAAAAATGAATTGTTTTAAATTTTTATTAAATAATATGATTTTATTAAAATTTTAAATTATTTTATTTTTAAATTTTTTGTATTTTTATTTTTTATCAAATCACTACATCATATTTAAAATTATCATATCTTTCATTATTTCCTTTGGTTGAATTTAATTTGTGAGATGCAGGAGGAATTGATTCAAAGTTAAAAAGGAGGTTGTTTCTCGCTCACGTGAATTGTGAAAATATGTAGACGATTAGCCGAACAAGGCCTTGATTTAGTCCCGGTGATGTTGAATGCTTGAAATATGAGTAATTAATTGATCGGGTTTGGTAAAATTAATATTTAAATTAATTAATTTTTATTTAATAAATAATTAAATTTATTAAAAATTTTTAAATAATCATTATAATCAAATGATTAAAATCAATTCAATTCAATTAGTTGAATTAAATAATTTAATTTTTTAATTTTTTATTATAAATAATTATTTAATTATAAATTTAATTGAATAAAATTTAAATTCAAATATCATTTAAATTAGGTCACTAAAATTTTAATGAATTTAATAATATTATATAAAAAAGATAAATAAAAATATTTATTTTAATTTTTTTATCTTTATTAAAAAGTTATGTCGATTATTAAATTTAAAAACTAAAAATCCATCAATTTAATCAAATTAATTGATATAAAAATTAACTATATGCAAGACTAAATAAATCAAACGAAATTGATTATTTTTCATCAATCTCGATTGATCAAATCGATTTAAACAGATTTCTCCTCACCCATAGCTTGAAACGTGTATTTCTTCCTAGACAGTGACACTTCGGTTACTAACTCTACCACGTCATCTCTCTTCTTTATTTTTTTTTCTTCACCCAATAACAAAACTAAATCATTTTACCATTTGCAAATTGCTAATAATAATGATTAAGGATGATTATACTATTATACTTAAAAAATTATATTCATTATATTGTTTTTATAATATTTTAAAAAATTAATGTATTATTTTTTTTAAAATATCACTTTAATTAACATAATTTAAATTATATTTAAATAAATATTATGATGCATAAAAGATATTTGTGTCATACACTTTAACTAACAAACATGAAGCATTAATCTACAGCCAATAGGAAGAAAAAAATCATTGGGCATATAAACATTATTATTGCATACTCTAATAAGCTGGTTTTGTAAGAAGAAAGTGATGATTAGGAATGTCAATGGTAGAATGTGAAGTGAGTAGAGCATTCTCATCTCATTTTTAATTTTTTTATATTATATATATTATTGTACTTATTTTCAACGAATGTTTTAAATTTATCCATATCTTTGTGAATATTTAATGGATGTAAGTACTCTGCATACTTATAATTTAAAAAAATAAAAATATATTTTTTAAATTTTTTAATTTTTATCAAACACATTAATTTAAATTTTTTTATAAATATTTTAAAATAATACAAACACATTAGTTCCAATTAATTTAAAATAAAATTTATGTTATTAAATATATATAAATATACATAGAGTACATGTAAGATATGGATGTTATCTTACTCATCCTCATTCATCTCCGTAATGAATAAAAAATTTAAAATCATACATATTCTCATTGTTATCCTCAAAATTTAATATCTAGTTACATCCTCACTAGGATAAAAAATCAGATTTTTTATCAGGTTTGGATAAAATTGACATTTTTAGTGATAATCATGGGACAAATGGTGTAAAAACCAACTATTCACTCATTTGACTCTATACCAAGCAACCCAACCAGAGTAAGCCAATTTGACTGCTTAACAAAATGCCATGATAAGATACAATGATAAAATTTAACCACACCGAGCACTTAAAAAAGAGTAAATACGATGACAATAATAATAAAGATATCATGAGATTGGATGAAAATGAAGAAGAATATCATGCCTTACGCCTTTAAGAGATAAACAAGATGCATTAATCTCACATTAAATAATAAAAAAATCGATGAACATGTTAATTTAGAGTTACACACCTTAATAAGTCGATTTTGAAAAATAGTGCTGCTAAATCTTTTCGAAAACGAATTTTTAAAAAGTTATAAAATTTTTCAAAAAATCATACAATTTTTTGAAAATAAATTTTTAGAAACCTTTAAGAATTACCAAAAATAGAGTTTTAAAAGTTCTTAAAGGTTCCGAACATCTATTTTCATAACCTTAGATTTCACCAAATCTCCATTTTTATCATATCTCATCTCCTCCTCTCTTTCCAATTGAAAACTTTAAAGGATTTTAAACACAATCAAGCCAAAATTCAAAGGAAATTTCACCAATTTGAAGTAAAATGCATAAATCAAAGGTAAATCATTTGGTTTTTTCTTTTTACTTTTTCTTTGATTTTATACTTAATTTTGTAAGATTTTATGTTAAAATATTTTGATATGATTTAGAACTTTTGAAAATTGATTTTTAAAAAGTTGTAAAGTTTTTTAAAAATGGATATCTAAAATCTTTAAGAACTTTCCAAAATGATTTTTTGAAAATTCTTAAAAATTTATGAAAAATTTTTTTGAATAATTATATAATTTTTTAAAAAATTATTTCTAAAAAGAATTTATAACTTTTCAAAAATCCATTGTCAAAAATTTATACGAAAGAGAAAAGGTAATTTGACAATACTCTCTTGAAATTAAATAATTTCACTTATAACAAAATTTTTAAAAAAACAAAGTGTGAAAAAAAAAAAAAACAAAGGTGTATTCGGCAATTCTCTTTGATAAAAAGACAACGTACCATCCACGCAATATTTACACCGCGCTACACATCTTTTTAACCTTTCTTTTCTACAGGACCCTTAAAAAGGTGTAAAAGAGGACTAATTGGGCTTAACATCTTATCCTGGCCTGATCCATTGGAAATCTTTTCATGTGTTAGAAGCCGGACGCCCACAACTTTCGGCCTAAAAGACCTGATGAGAAGCTAAGAGGATGCGTGTACCCGTATCCATACCTTCCAAAACATTGGGTCAGATTTATTGGGAAAAATGAACCATACAAAGGATAAATGAATTCATATTAATAAACCACATTTTATCATAAAAAGCTAAGGGAAAATAGTAGATAAACTACAAATTACATAGGCCGATAATATAAAGAATCAAATTGAATAATATTCTAATACTTACCCTAGAGAAAAAAAGGATAATAAAAAAAATTATAATTTAATTCATTTAGTTCATACAATATCTTTAAAATGTAATATCTAATAAGTTTGAAATAAAAATTTAACATATGTAATTTTTTTTATTTTCAAACTACCAATTTTATAAAAAGTTTAATAATGTTAATTGTTTAATGTCATTACTATGTATAGATAGATTGACATGTAAATAGATAGAATTAAAATATAAAGCTAATGAATCTACTAAGTTATGTAATTTTCACATAATGGGAATTGATAAAGCATTAGATTTGGTATATATAGATACTTTTGTAACACCAATAATATTTCTTGACATATAATCAATCACCAAAAGCCTAGCATGAGGAGCCGAAAGAAAAATGTAGCCAAAGAGTACTTGCCGGCTTCATATATCCATTCCATTTCAAATATCAAAACAGATCGATATAGCAAAGGATGGAGGAGTCGGAGACGGCAAGTCATCCTTGGCTGCACCATCCTTTCAAGACCTAAACGCTAGGCTGCTGGTGAAGGGTTGGCAATGGCACTCTGGCACAACAGAAGAGTAAAGCAAAAGAAAGAGTAGTTTTGAGTTATTTGAAAGGCAAAGAAGAGAAATGAAATAGTGAATGAGATGAAGCTCGGAAGAGGCTGATAAGCTGGACCTTATATAGAAGTGAAGTGAAAGAGAAAGGGCAGTGATCAGTGGCAATATGGGTTGATATTTTTTTATAAAAATGGCAACCATATCGAGGTGATGATGAGTGAGGACAGCTAATTCGAGACCCAATATTTGGTCCTAGTCGAATATGTGATAAGGTTTCTGCTGTCCCATCACACTATGAGAGAGAGGTAGAATATGTTGATTATCAAGAAAATCTACTGAGTTTTCGATATCTGATAGGCTAACTGACCATAAAATAGTAACTTCTCGTCGAGTGCATGCATGTGTGTAAAGAAGAAAAATCAAAGTAGATATTTCAGTTAGGTTAAGTGATCATACAGTCATGGCAGAAAGTCTTATGAATACATAGATTTGATAATTTGTAAATTTTTATCATATATATTTATATTAAACACATATAAAATTAATCACAAACACGAATGATCTAGGGAAATAAGTGACTCGAGGATCAAGGCCCTGCTTTGCACTCAATACAATGCGAAAATATTACAAGCACAAGTAGCTTGGACACATTTCCCTACCGTCCATTTTTACCTTGGTTTGCCATACATGATCTGCTGTCACTGACAAAATTAACAGAAATCTTGATTGATTTGCATTTTTTTAAAGTAACAGAAATCTTGATTGATTTGCATTTTTTGTTCCTTTCCAGGGCTGAAACCTTTAAACTTTTACCTAAACTCACGCCCTTAAATGTCAGATTGACGGCAATATATGTTATACCATGAGCTTTAAGGGACAAAATCTCAGCATAATGGAAATTAAGGATTCCTACATGGAAAAAAGTGCCCCACTTGTTCATGGTAAGGTAGAAGACAAAGAAGAAAATTAAAGATGATCAGGATACAGGTCAGGAGTCAGCATGTGATAATTGGTGTTTCGGTGATTTCTAAGGTATCAGAAATCATTCCATGATTTTTAGAATTAAAAGGCACCTTTTCCTGCACTTTTTAAGGCAATGACAACTTTTGGTGTGTAGATACAATGGATGAAATCACATATTGAAGCTGCCATGCCAATCAACTCAAGGCAAAGATATGGGTCAGCTAGTCAAGATTTTGTTTCCCACAGTAATATATCTAAATTTCAAATCCAATTGCAGGCTAAAACGTACTAGTAGTTTGGTATCTCACCTCAATATTGCGTATGGAATTGCTAACTACAAACAACCTAATTAGCGGCTACTTGATTTAGTAATGCTGATCAACAAAAGCGGAAATCGCTTGGCCGTAAGTCCCCATATGGCCAGGCCAACCTGGACCTTGCCAGTTGCAATCAATCAAGTGATTTCATGCATGAACCATACAAAAATCTAGATTGATTGATTACCAATTCGATTGTGAAAAAGTGGTTCATGTCATGGATCAATCATGGATATGCTTCAAGTTGAAAGATACAGCCACCTATATAATTAGGCTTTCAATAATTAGGCTTTCAATATAATTAGGCTTTCATAGTTTTGGCCTTCTTCACCAACCAAACAGTATTGACCAAATTGTCTCAAACCAAACGAAACAAAAAGCATATAATATCTGTAAAGTTACGTACTCTGATCAGTTTTAGCGATCATAAGGAATTTCTTAAAAACAAAAGCATGAAAGAGCTACCTTCAAAGGTGGGTTTGCTTTGCAGAAACCAAGACGTAGATACCTCTTGGAACTCACATTTTCGTAGAAGAAACGTGCCCTAGTAACTCTCACGGTTGCAGGAGATATTATAACTAATACATTCTTTGGAAATTGGGTTCAAAACTTGGCTTATTATTAACATTTCCTATTAATAAATTAAGGTTAAACATGACTCTGGAGTTGAAAGAAAGGTCACTATTTTTTCTTGCTTTTCATCAATTAAGGATCAAAGACTTTGGAGATGTATATTTAAATCGGATGATTTGTGTAATTATATAATGTAAAATAACAAAATTTATGCATTTGTATCATATTTTATACGAAAATTACGTATTATAATTTATATTGATATAAAAATATAAAATATATTTTCTTAATTTTATTAAACTAATTTATCGTTATTGCTAAAATTTTAAAATATATCACTTTCGTACATAATTTTCGTATTATATTTATGTCGTGTCACTATGTTATATTTTAAATTATCATCCCTATCTATATTTATGGGAATAATTTATTGTGTATGTATTATAAATGAATTATCATTGTGATTATCGATACTTATTATTTTTTACGAATTTATAAATGATTGTCATTTATAGAAAAAGATCATGAAGTTCATATCAATCAATATAAACAAATTTAATAATGTTGCATGGATATTATGAATATTATAGGAAAAAAGTAATACAAATTTTCCAAAGATTACGTTAGTAATTAATTAAATAAATAATTTTATTTAATCTAATTGATTTATAAAGCTATTTTTATGACATGCATTCAAATTCTAAGATGGAGGGATGAGATTTATGGGACGAGAGAAGGCTACTTTCCATTGTGCAAGTCAATATCACATGTAAAAAATGCTATTTTCTAGTAATCTTATATTTTTTAAATAAAAATATATTACTGAGATAATAAGATCATTACTTGGGGCTGCAGGCCCATAACATGGTGGCATTTTGGTAAATAGCCACCCACAATAGAAGAGACCATTCCATGGCCTGGCATCAGAGATGTTCAGATATGGGCTTGGATGTCTGAGTTATTAGGCTTCACTTCTGAGCCTTTAACCCAAACCCACCCTTACCCACAATGGGACCGCTAAAGACGGAAAAGGAACAAAACCCACAGTTTCAAGGTCCAAAAGAAGCTAGCTGGATCCCAATTTTCACTCTCTAGCTTCTATTTGTATTACTTAGGCTTGATATGCCACCTAGGATGCTTCTCCGTATTACATTTTGGACATTGAAGGCATTTGATTTTCAAGTTGGACTCTTTTCGATTCACTCAGAGTTACTAGGAAGATCATGATATATTTTTTTTCACCGATTACATGACTTGGGGCAACGATGCAAGAGGTTCGATAAAATCCGAATGGACTATAAACGTAAATAAAAAAAAAAAATGTTAGGAGCTTTATCACTAACAATCACGACTTAATTTTAATTATTAAAATTAAATATTTAATATTTAATTAATAAATAAAAAATTAACAATTTTATTTATGAATATTGAAATATTAAAAATCTAACCATACTCAAGCTGGACTTTTTTAAAGAAAGGCTAAAGTGATTTATTTAAAAAGTAAAAAATTGATAAAGAAAAAAAAAAAAGGCCAAACTTTTTTTATTTATTAAACTTGAGTCTTCTGGTATAAAATTAGCTTGGTTCATTTTTATTTCTCTATAAAACTTAAAATTTCTTCAAAAAAAATCATTATATCTAATTATTTTAGTAATAAATCAAACAAGCAATAGAATTTTTCACACAAAATTATTTTTTTTATATGGATAAAAAAAAAAAAACATAATTCATGCTTTTAGTTAAACTACTCTCTCATTATTTTTATTGATTTAAATTAATGATTTAACTTTTTTTAAAATTTTTATTGGCTTTTTAGAGAAGATAAGGCTATGACTTTGTTAGGACAAGAACAGAAAACTTTGTCAGGTGTGAATTTTTTTAGAAGACATTATCGTAATCTAACGTTGTCGTTGTAGTAGTAAAAATGCGATGCCCCATCATTTTCACTTCACATCACATCATCCTCTTCCTTTGCCTTTTTCTTCATTCACTTTCTCTTTGTCTCATTTTCTTTTCCTTTTTTTTTTCCTTCCAAAACAATCATAAAACAAAACAAAGAAAAGGAAACAAGAGCGTTTATAGAATGGCTCAAAACAGCTCAAAATAGGGTTTCGTTTGTTTTGCTTTACTTAAATTCCCCAGATTTCTTCATAACCCAGTTCAAGTTTAGCCTATTTTAAGGTACGCTCTTTTTCTCTCTTCATTTTGCTTCATGGGTTCTTTTTTTTTTTTTATGGTTTGTCTTTTTAGCTGATTAAATGATAAAAATGAGCAACTTTCTTATTGTTTGGTTTTTTTTTTCCCGTTTTTGAGTATTTTTCTTTTATGGGTAATTGCTATTTTTGGATGAAAAGTTTGAATCTTTTTGGGACCATTGAGGTATGGGAAGTGGGAGGTTATCATTTCCTTTTTTGAGGTTTAGGAGTTGGAAATAAAGTTTTTTTTTTTTTTTTTTAATGTTTCCAACGATCGATTGTGAGGTTAGATTGGTGTATTATTGTGAACATTATCTTAGGTTTAAAGGTGATAAGAAACATAATAATACTACTTCATGTTTTCAGGACACTTATTCAGAAATTCTTTAAGGTTTGTTACTAACAATGAATACTTGCCTGCTTTGTTCTGTGGTTTTCACTCTTTATTATTGCCTTTTGGCAATAATCTTGACTGCACCCGTTTATTGACTGTGGAATGCTGCTTTGCAAAGAAAAAAGACTTTGGAATGCTGCAACATAAATCTGTTCAAATCTACGATTCTTTGAACAAAAATGCAGCTAAAATGAGAAACGGTATAAAAGAGGTTAACAATGTGCAAAAATTAAAAAAAAAAAAAAGTTTGCAAATTGTGGCTGAATTTAAATTAAGTGCCGAAAAATAAAGTGTGAAGCTTGTAATTGACAGCATTTTCTTTGCACTTCTTTCAGCGATTGACATTGTGTTAGTCTGTTGTACGACTTACTGATTGTTGTTTCTTTGAGTGTGAATGTGCGTGTCTAGATGTATGATATTACTTGGTAAGCGTATGCCTATGTTATCCTAAAATGCATTTTGTAGGCTTTATTATTGTTTTGTGCTCTTCATTTTCATTATTTTTCTATTTTATTTTTGAGATCTATAGCAATTAATTTTTTTCCTTTCTCTAGATAGACAATATTATTTTATTCAGTTGCTCATTACATTGTGCATATGGATGAATGCAGCCAGGAATAGCAGATTTGTGGTGAATCTTATTTGAAGTGGCATACTGGAGTGGAAAGTTACTTAAGTGCACTTCTGTGTCCCATTGTTATTCCTCCAAAGATGGGAATCTGATATGCCTTCTGGTTTGCTTCAAGTCTTGAGTGGATCGCAGTGAGCTTCAATAATATCTGTGCTTTAAGTTTGTTGACATTTGGCTATGCTTGATTTCTGATAAGCATGTAGAGTTCCATACTTTCATGAAAATCTTAAAGTAGATTACTGGACAACCTTATTGTGCCAATAGAATATAGCTAATACGGGTGCACTTTGTTGTGTGGCCGCTAGGCCACATGGAACAAAATCACCAACAACCAGAAGGGACTGTTCCATGGATCATGATGAACCACATTGGAGGACAAACTCTAGTTTTTCACCTCCTCCATTGAGGATATGGGACTGTAGGTTACATTCAGATGGTTTGCCGCATGGGTCACATGGTACAGGTTTACATGTTTCATCAATGCCCTCAAATAGCAGGGGTAGCAGAAGCAGGGTAGGCAGTGAAGAGTACATCAATCATCACCATTCTGTTTCCGATGGTGCACTCTCTTATTCTGGCAGCCCGCCTGATAGTGCTCAGGTACCACGATGGACTTCACCCATACAAAGGTTCAATCTAGAGGAACTCCCTGCCCCTAATGTTGGAGGTAATCTTAAGTTGATATTTCTTCTGTTATCAAACATGGCCCTGCTTAAATTTTATTCTTATTTTTCTTGCAAATTGAGACTTACAATATTATATCAGATGCCACTTTCTATGTTGCATGTGTAAGTGCATTTTCCTTTTATCTTTTCCCTTCTTAACAGAATGCTAAATGTCTTGATACTTTCTTTTGGTCAACTAATATTTATATAATCATAGTTAATTATCTTTTCTGAAATGAAGGGCTGATGAAAATAGTTTGGATACCTATAATTGGTTAATATCGGAACAGATAAGTGGCATGATATCATAGATTCTTGGAAGTCTTTAGTTGCCATAATGCAATGAATACTTTAACTGTTCATTACTGACTATTTATTATGATTACCCTCATTCCTTATCTTCTCTATCTTACCATTAATGATTTCTATTATCATAGGTTTTGCCTTATCATACCAATTTTAATTTTATGATTTTTCATAATAGGATGTTGTCTTATCATTTAGTGAATTGTTCAAGAATGTATAAACGCAAAATTGGAAAATGATCTGTGCTTCGGAATTAGAGGATAGATAGAATACTAGGTTGATTTTTCATGATGATGATGTGTTCTGATTCATCTGAATTAATACCTTGTTAGAATTATAACTATGCATCTAAATTGCATGAATGTCTAAAGGGTCTTTTAGACTGGCGTATAATTTTCTCTTGAAATTTTTTCTACTTCTGTGAATGAAACTAATTTCTCATTCCCATCGAAGATATATTTAAAATGTTAATCCTCTGGTTCAGCCTTGAGAGTTGAGATAACCAGCACTATAGGGTTCATTAAACATTTGAGGGGTCCTCTATTAATGATTACTTTTGGGCGTTGAGCTTGTCTGCCACCCATGGTGTAGCCAATTCTCCTTCATGATGAGTTTCTGTTGCTTCTGAGTTTTGTAGGGCAAAAAGTAAATAAAAATAAACTGCCACTTTTGCTGGCAGAATCAAGTCAGTTGACCCAATTCTGGCTGGTAGTTTACTATAATATTTTTTTTATTCCCAAGCTTCTGTTCCATTGCTTATATCTATATATCGGTTTTAGTGGATTGGCTGATTCATCCCTTTTAGTTTAGGTTGTTAGTTGAGGCTAGCCTGATTCAGCCTATTGGGGTTGTTGCATAAATGATGCTCTCAGATCATGGATCCATGGTGTCGTGCTTATTAATAGTAGTCTCTTACGATACAACAGTAAAATGCTGATTATAATATGTTGATCATGCTGTTAAAACTTGAAACATTTTGTGAAATTGCAGAAGTGATGGGTGTTTCCAGAGCAGTGACTTGTATTGTGAGGTGAAACTGTAGTTCACCAAAAAAAAAAAAATGTACGAAGTGAGGGATGTCATATGCTTAATCAAATTCTGTAGATATCTTTCTCTCCTCCTTTTAGAAGGCTATAGCTAGTTTGCCAATGACCATTTCCCTGAATTTTAAACCAATCAACCAAAATGAAGTTTATTATATATGATTTAGGGCAGACTAATTGTTTTTTCTTAAGTCAGATTTAACTATTATTTGCAGTTTCACTTTTATAGATTTCGTGTTATTTGTTCTATCATATGTTTGCTTTCTTAACCTATTTTTAATTATCAGGACCAATTCCCCAGACCTCTTGGTTCCCTTGCTCCGCTGAGGTGACTTGTGTTTCAACTTGTTGGGTTTGATATCAGTTTAATAAGAAAAAGCTTGTCATCAAGAATTTCACTCTTTTTGGTGTTCTTCTTGCAGAGGCAATATGCTATTAAAGCAACTGCAGCATCCCCTAGCTTTGGATCCCTTTCCTCACTTTCTGAGTCTAGTCTCTGGGAATCCACTAGCAAGCAGCTCTTCTCATTTCCTAACTGCAACTTCTCTGGTCGATGTTCTTACATGACAAAAGCAGTTTACCCACTAGTGTTTCGCAACCCTGTCTCGGATTCTGAAGGCTTTGGTGATGCTGACATTAACGATGTTGGCAAGTTGACACCCAGTGAAGATCGCTTCTCACCATTTCACTGGCATGAAACCAGCTCCAGTGTTGAGCGCAAGTTTCACAAAACCCTTTCTGAACTTCAAAGGTCTGAAGCATCACCAGACCCCAGTGCTAGCTCTAGAAGAGAAGGTTTTAGGTGGAGCAGTGCCAGCAGTTATGATCTGGGGTTAGATGGAGAAAAGTTTGAAATGGCGGAGCATATGGATGTAGAGAGCCTGAGGTCCCCTATTGGTCCTGTGGTAGACAACAAGTGTGGAGTTTGCGGAAAACTTTTGTGGCAGAAGTCCCCCTGGAGTTCACATCGAATAATTAGAGGTGGTGACATGCCAACTGCTGGGGTTCTACCCTGCAGCCACGTGTTCCATGCTGAATGCTTGGAGCAAGTTACCCTGAAGTCCCAGATTAATGAACCTCCCTGTCCGTTGTGCCTCAAAACCGTTGGAGCACTAGAAGAATCTGTATCAGTTTCAGAACCTTTGCAAGTGGCTTTAAGATCTTTGCGAAGGAGCAGGGGTGCCATGATATCTGAAGACCAGGAAGATGATGAGGTCTCAAACCATATCAAGGAAAAACTAAGGAGAAACTGGGCTCCATCAACCCCACGATGGAATGACAGTTGTTCTTCAATAAAAAATCGTCTTAAGAAGCATTTCAAGTTTAGAGGAAAAGTAAGGAAAGATATATTCAGCACAAAGGTATTCCAGAGGATTGGTTCATCTTCTTCTAGTAGGGAAGCAGTTCGGCATTGAGTATCTATTTGGTAATTCCAGATACGTAACTCACTGGCAAATGATAGATTTAGTCATTTTGTGAACTCTCTGTTTCCTTTGAGTATATTATCCTTTCACCTTGGTTTCTCAATATGGTTGTAAGTACATCTTGAATGTCTTATTGCATGCTTAATCAGAATATGAGTTGCAAGCAAGTCAGGTTGTTTCTAATGTGTTATGAAATCAGCTATCTGTATGATCTATAATGTGTGAAGTTCAGTTGATAGACCATGATTTGCAATGATCTTAACAACCTTGAATGTTTGGAGATCAAATCTCGATTTTAATGTGTCAATTGTCAACTGTTGGGGAACAGAAGGGTGAATCTCAAAGCAAATAATAAAAGTTTCCTTCCTTTCTTTCCTTGGTCATATTCGCATGAAAAAAGAATGCATAAACCAGCATGGATGGCAGAGATTTGTCCCGGATGAACCCATGGAGAAATATCATCTCCGGCGAGCATCAATCTCCAACTTTTTTTGGCTGTTATCTAACTCAATTTTGAAATGGATTTCGAGTTCAGGATTCAATAATTGCATGTAAATAAAAGGTGTTCGTTATTAGTTTTAGAAAGCATACGAGTGCCTAATCCGACATTCCCAAGACATAAAAAGAGAAGGCAAGAAGCAGCGTTTAAAAAAAAAGGGGCTTACAATTTCATAAAAATAAAACAATTTTCAAGCTATACCAATGGACCATTGAGGGTTCTACCCACCTAAGGGCCATGATTGAGATTTTATAGAGATGACTTTGGATCGAAGCTTTAATTCTATAAAAGGCCGCCCATGTTTGATATGATCTTAATATTCGGCCATCGCAATCGTCATGCCCTTTTCGTTTCCGCCATACGAAATTTTCGGATTAACGGGAACAAGTACATCTGCATATGATTTTCTAATTCATGCTAGTAACAGGTTTGTAGAGATGAATAGGATTTGGGTTGGGACTTGGGATTGAGTTAACCCATATCTAATTTTTGCAACAAATTGTAAACCCAAAATTTAGTTTTAATTAATAGTTTTTCTAGAACAATACCAAGGAGAAAAATTAGACTGGACTTTCTCACTTGTTGCTGAGTTGGTTGACTTGTACTAATCCTTTAAAACCGGTAATTGTTTTTATTGTCTTTTTTTTTTTTTAACTTCTTAATTAAGAATATTAATATTAATAAAAGGTAATGGCTCGGCTGGGTGGAATAGCCGAGCCAGAAAAAAAATATTTTAGATATAAAATGAGTTGAAAAGAAAAATTTTATTAGTATTTTTTATAATAAAATATTTAATAAATATGAATTTAAATTTTAATATTTGTAATTTTTTTTATTTTTATTTAGTGACATTCGTAATAAAAAAATATGTTAGCTGATTAAATATTACTCTTTGGTTACGTGCATGTTCAGAAAAGCTAAGAATATCTAAGATGTTGATGTTGAGAGTCTGGGCAGGTAGATCAAAGTAAAATATAGATAGAATTCAAAGTGAGATTTGTAAAGTATTTTTTAAATGTGATTTAATAAAATTTTAATAAAAAAATTAATAGAATAAAGATTAAAAATATTATTTATAATTCAAATTTAATTAGCATTTATTCAAAAGTAAAAGTTTTATCAAAATTTTTATTAAAAATGATTAGTCAAAAAAAATTAAAATTTTTTAATTTTTTAAAAAAATTTTACACATTTAATTTATTTAATAAAATATTTTAATTTTAATTTTTAATTTTTAATCATTTTAATAAAAAATTTTACAAACTTCACTTAAAAGTTTTGAAAACTTCATTTAAGTTTTCTTAAGACAAGTTACTGTATTCATTTATAGGGTTCATACATAATCTATTTATTAAATAATATAATATTTCATGAAATTTAAAAACTTCCAACACAGCAAATAAGGGGACAACCTAAATCCTCAACGTTGCCTTCCGCTTCTTAACCTAATAATTAAGAAGTTTTGAATAAAAGACGTGGGCGTATATTTTAACTCCGTCAATCGTATTTCCCTTATAAGAGTTTTACACTTTTATAAATTAAAAAAAAAAAAAAAAACAACGACAACGTTGACCCGATCACGATTAGAATAGACACAAACCCCATGCCCCACACACCACATCTTTTGACCCAAACCCCATACGCCGCTCACGTAACTCGTTGTTGCCACCACCCTTGGCGCCACCCCTCAATATTTCCAGGTGCTTCGTTTGCAATATCAAGATTGTGATAGCTAGAACTGACTTCATGCTCTCCACCAATATTTCCGCCACCAGCGGAGCGGCTCCGGCGAGATTGAGCTTCGTTCAACAATTCAGTAAAGTCCCTCGTAGCTTCCTCTATCAAGCCCTTCATGCTTTCCTCGCTAAGGTTCTGACCATTATTCTCTTGAAGGTTATAAACTCCTGCTTCATAATTTTCTGTATTAAACTAACATAATTTTCATAGTGAAAACAAGTGACAACAACATCTCACAATATATACATATTTATCAAATTATCTTAGCTTAAAATTTAAATAATAAATCAAATGGGTCTCTTCAAACAAAAAGAAACAAAAAAAAAATTAGGGATTTTAACAAAAGGAAATTCTTTCTTTTTTGTAAAAAAAAATAAATATAAAGAAATAGTGATGACATGACAAAAACTATAAAACATTGAGAATTAAGTTAAAAAAATACAATAGTTGTATAATATAATAAGATATGGTTAAAACCTCCTTCTCTATATTTTACGGTACGAAGAAGCTACTCCAACCTACAGATATGGGTAACATTTTATGAACTTTTTGAGTGAGGCTAAGGAACAATAGGAGGAAGTCAAATGTTTTTATGGATTTAATTAAAAAAATATTGGATGATGAGAATCTTGAATGTCTTGAAATCAATGAAAGATCCTTTTATTTAAAATGTATACAAGTGAATGCCCCTTAATATGTGCATTCATAATATGCATGTTATTCATTTTTTACATAAATATTTTTACCATATTTTATAAGAAATTTATATGTTATAATTTTAATTGACATAAAAATATAAAATATATATTTTTTATTTTATTAATTATATAAAATTTTTAATAAAATTTTTAATTATATTATATTTATATTATATTATCGTATCATATTTTAAATTGTTGCTAACTAGCCATTGGTGTTCTCATGGTCAACTGTCCCAGGCTTTGAACTATCATTAACTTTGGCATGGCGCACCTCAACTAAACTCAAGCATAAAAAATACTTTTTAACTGGGTTGGGCCTCATTCTATAAAATGGTTAATTGGGACTGCAAAACAAGCAGAGATCTGGTTGATAATGAATCCTAATTTCAAATAATTATATGGCTTTGGATTTGGTTAATCTAGTGATTAATTCGATATGGCCCCATTCTTTGAATCAGCAGTCTTGCAAACTGCTATTTGCTGGTATGAAGCCTTGAATTTGCCCCTTGAAACGTCAATACCCAAACAAATGGGCAATTTTATTAAGCAGCAAGCATCCTATATACACAGCAAATGCAAAAGCAAACACGATCCTCACACTCACTGGAGCAAAGCTGATGGAAACACACATATCATATATAAACACAAACTCACATTCTCTCGACAATGAGTTTATCCTTCGTTACAAAGATAAACAGCTAGCCTAACAAGCTCAATTTCCCTCTTCATTCTATGAACCTTTTCAAATGCTTTTCCCAGTGCTGTTGCTACTTCCTCTGACAACTTCTTCATTAACATGGTCTCCCCTCTTAACTTTGCGACTGCAACTGTCATTCTATTCAGAGTCTTCCTTACTTTCTGTTTGGGTAGTCAGGCAAATTAAAGATTAACAAGATATTCTAACAAGAAGAGAGGCTAAAAAATAATTATCCATATGATACCAGAAGGCCTGATGTTTTGCGCTTGAAGTTGCTCCGTTTTGTTTTTGCTATGATTTCTTTTCCTGCAGGCCAGTCAGGATACAAGGGAGGAGTAGAATCAAATGCTTGTGAGCGTGTCGATTGTTTGATCAAAGAGAAAAAGAAAAGGAAAAAATATTTCCATGCAACTTTTTATTATTGAAACACATTAATTCCAAGCGATGTTGTTGTTTGTATATTTCACCTCTTTTCATGCGATCGGAGGAATGTCGGCATTTCTGCGTGCCTTGTTTTTTCTCTCGTCTTGAAAATGCCCCAAATGAGCTGTAGACAGATTGAAGTTACAAAGATACTCTTCCGATCAGTCAATATAAAGATAATATTCATGTTCTATTCTAAATAATTTCTTCAGATCCACGTAAAAAAAGAAGAAGCATGTAAGCCTTTTTTTTCTTAAACTTTAAAGAGAAATTAATTAAAGAAATTAAATATATATCAGAGACTATTCAAGTCTAATCACGTCATGCTAATCACGTCGTGCACTCATATATAGTTTAATTATAGAAAAAAATTTGTATATTTTAAAAAAATCCCATTAAGTGATAATTAACATGACTGACATATATATATATATACATATATATATTTCAAGTTATAAAAAAAAATAAAAATAATTAAAAATAAAATATGATTTTTTTAATTTATTTATAAAATTAAAAGCTATCAATAGTAATGCATCCGCATCGAGTGAAGTTAAAATTTTGACACTATTTGTAACATTTTAAAAAGTTTAAATTCAAACACTATTTGTATAATTTAGAAAATTTAGCAGTGTATAGAAAAAAAGATATTATCTACTTAAAGTCTTTTTATTCATTTATTTTTAGTGTGTAAGATTGTAATATTTGAAAATTTGAAGCAATGACTCCATAAGGAAATCACCAAAGGCTGCTAGGGATTAAAACAGAGGATTAGATTGGATCGGATTGATTCGGTTAATTCATTATATTATAAATTTTTAAAATTTGATTCAAATTTGAATTAATTTTTCTAAAACACAAAATTGATTTGAACCAAAGTTTTATCAATTTAATTTGTTTATCAATTTTTAAAAATTAATTATTTTTAATTATTTGTTGTAATTTTTATATTAATTTAAATATATTTAAATATATTTAAATATATCTAAATATAAAATAATTATTTTATTTTATATATAAACTAATATAAATATATAATTCAATTTGATTTGAATATTTTTCATTTTACCACTTTTTATCCAAAAATCAAATTGAACCAAATTAAAACATACCATATCCGATTTTAAACCAAACTAAATATAAAATATAGATCCAAACATAATAATTTCTAATTAGTTTTTTATTTTCTCCATTTTTGTAGGTATCAAATCATAAAAAAAAATACAGTTAACAAGCCAAATTACATATTAACCCAAAAAAATTGTAATTAATGTATAGGAAGAAATCATGGCTGCAGGTGATAAAAGAGATTGCTGTAACTTTGGCAATTTTCTCTAACCTTTGGCGGCCTGCTTGTTCATCTCTAACTTGCATCCTTCTTATCTTCTGGGACAAAAAGAAATTAAAGGCACGCGTCCATTGGTCAGGAGCAAAATTAAAACAATAATAATCCAAAGAAACAAACAGCAATCAGTATAATTAATTGATCATAGAAATTACTGCTGAAAATAAAATACAAGTATATGAATTGTATAGTATTTTATGCGCCCTTTGCTTCAAATTCCGACGACTGTGTTTTAACCGTTGTAACAGCTACTCAGTGCTTTCTGTTGCACAGTGAGTTGGTATATATAGACGGTTAAATAAAAACCCCCTAATATTATCATCAAAAGACACAACCTCCCCTGTAATATTTTCCCCCTTACCAACTGCATGGTAGATTTACCGATACTTAATTTTGGGTTGATCTAATGGAATCCAATTTTATTTGACTGCATCACTCTCTGATTTTGTTTAATTTTAAAGAATTTTTTAATTAAGATCTGGTTTTCAGTATCCATTCTTCACTAATTGATTTGTTTTAATTTTATTTTAAACTATTTTTGGTGTTAAAATTAAAAAAAAGGTTCCATAATTTTCTTTTTCATGTTAAGAATTTACTTG